ATGTCACGGATCTGTTTCTCCAGGGCCTCGATTCTGCTATCGGTGGCTTCGTGCTTGTTGGTGTGTTCCTTCATCCCCAACTCCAAAGTATCAAGGCGAAGTGAGTGTCCCTGAATCTCATGCCCGAAAGCCAAAACATCCTCATGTGTTTTGTCTTGCTTGCTGTGTAGCGAAGCCATGGATCCAAGCAGCTCATTGATCCAAGGGGGGGGGACTTGTCCATTCTGTCTGACTAAGTCATGCAATGGAGTACAGGGGGCGGGGGCTCCCGGGTGCGGGGTTGGTGCAGTGATCTCCTGTTCAGCAGCGTAAGGTTTGTGGGGCAGGGGTCCAGGAGAGTCATCTTCGGCATCAGCTTGGGTGAGATCAAAAACCGTGGGCTCAAGTGGTTTGGTTACGACTACTGGCGGAGCAGTCACTCCAGCAGCGTGTCCCAGTGGGATAGTATTCGCATCCATAAGTTCATCAGCATTACCAGGGGCTTCGTGTTCAAGTTTAGGCTTTTTAAGCTCAACATCCCTGCTGTCAGTATCTCTTGGCTCATTCCGACGGGAAACTCGTTCGGTCCTTCTGCTTCGCTCTCTATCCCTAGCTCCACTAGACTCAGTAGCAGCGGTCTTGCTAGGATCAGCTCTTCCACGCCCCTGCTCCAGAACACTATGGTGTGAGGCCGCACAAGGAAGCCCCTCTCTGTCAGGCAGTTTACCTGAGAGAGGAATGTAACCTGTATCTGCAGCAGGGTGAGGTGAGGCAGAAAGGGCAGCAGGGGCAGCACCAGCAACACCATCACTAGCAGAGTGGGCACCACCAACGGTGGGAAGCACAAACTGTTCAGGTGTGGGTTTCATGCATGCTTTCCTCTCGTCTACGCCCTTAAGATGGGGAGGTCCCCAGGTCCCGGGGCCAATACGTACGTTAGGGGGGTGCTCCTCAGTGGGCCTGGACATGAAACTACAGGGTGTTTCAAGGGGGTGCGCAGACAGCTCGAGCCGAAAACTTGAGCCATTTACAGGCGAGATCTATTGATTTCTGGGTTTTCTTTCCCCTAAACAAAAACGAATTCAACAACGTACTGAGTTACTGACTGTGTGCTTTACTTCTATATGCATACAAGTACACATGCTCATTTTCAACTTCCAATGTAGGAAAAACATCTGAGACTTGGTATAGCACAGCACAGCGCATGCTTGCTTGCAGGCCGTGGGCTTCATGACAACATGCGGCACCGCAACAATGCCAAGAGTCACATGGGGTAGAGCCCAATGCAGCTCGACATACAACAAACCCTAATGTCTCAAGGTTGTATGCGAATCCGTAACTGTAGCTACTAACATAGAGCTGCAGGTGCGTAGGTATATGGTTTTTTGTCTCCTGCATGGCTGAGCGAGTCGCGAAGCAGGGCTACAGCTGTATCCGAGTAAATTCAGGCAACTCTGTGCCACATGAGTCATGCTGCACTCAGTCTCACCCATATTAGAAGAGACGGAATAAGTACAGTGCATCATCTCGCACTGTGTCAGCTAGGGCTCTCAAGAAAAACAAGTACTGTCCTCATTTTTCGCATCCAGATGTAATGAACTCCACATGGCAAAATGCTAATGCGATGTTGTAGGTATACGTAAGGTACATGGTCCACCTGAGTATTTATGTGCATATTTCATGTTTAGATTTATATACCCTGGGAATCAGCACCCACAGTTCAGGGGCGTACGCTTTTTGACACTGACACTCGGACAAAGCCTGGCAAGGTCTAGGGTACATACTTTCGGAGGAAAGACCTGTGCATAGCTTGTAGCATAGAGCAATAAACAAGTCAGACGTTTCACATCAGGTTTCGCATACATAACATGACATATACCAGTACACGGCACCAAAAAACAGAACAGACTATTGTTTTTGCTTCAACAGTAAAAAGGCGCACAGAGATAAATTTGGTAAGGGATACACAAGGGCATTTTTATGCTTGTACATGAAGCCTTACATGTACTTTGTCATACATCTAGGACTTTTAGTTGGACTGCCTGCAGCGGTTAAGTTCTAGCTAATACCTGAGTTGAAAACTAGGACTGTGGTGTATAAAATCAAAGGGGCTGCTTTTGGGATCGCTTACTTCTGTACCGATAAAGGGTTGCACCATTAAGCTAACCTTTTTTTCCCTCAGTGGACAGAGGCCACCACTAAACCACTAAGCCAATAAACTCAGTAAGCCAATGAGCTTTGCCAAGAGGGGGAGAGAAAGGATCTTATAAACCATTTAACAATCACGCCGTTACACCCATGGATTCGTCTATAGGTTGGAAAAGATGATGCAAACAGCCAAATGTTTGGAACATCTTTGCATAAACGGTGGAGTATATGCTGTGGATGCCAAATGCCTGTTGCACTCATCCTTCCGGCCACCGAGCTTTCTAGATACTGAAGCAGCCTCGTGACAGGTTGGCACTATGACACATATCCAGCGGGAAATGCACGACAACCTTGAAAAGACCCTCGACAAAACGGAAGCTATTCGTGGGTTAGCAGGTTGGAAATCTCTCGATGTCAATTTATCTGAGACTTTGGAGTGCGTAACCGATGCGTGAGCCGTCCCTGGCTCATATAAGTCATCTGTAACCGCCTCGTCGTCGGACTGCCACTGTTACAGATCGAGCAGCTCACGTGCTGTTTGGATCCTTCAGCTAACACGGTTTCACACAAACACACACACAGACCCTCGATATGCAAGTTAACGACATCTCTTCAAGCTTCACTGAGCATCTCCCCTGCTTCGCAACTCAGAATCTCATTCTTTCAGATCGGGTTTGCTTGTTTTAAGGCCAGCGTGAACTTTTAGGCTAGTTTGGGCTCTCAGGTGCAGGTTCGTGTATCCACGAACCCACCGCACGGTCTTCGTTGGTGCCAGCACTCTTGGCCGGTCCTCCTGGCAACCGCTGCCTCACATAAAACTGAGATGTTTTCTTGGACCCTGGGCGACAAGGCTTCACACACAGCTGCCCCAATGACGGGGTAACAATCACCTGTGGTCGCTCGAAATCACTTGCAGGCACATCAGATAAAGACATGTATCAGACAGCCATACAATCCCTTGCGCACTTTGGCAATCACTTACAAATCTTAAGAGCGAAATGGGAGGGCAAGAAAAGAGTCGAGACGGTAAAGTGAAGGGGTGAGGAAGAACAAACATGGAGGAAAGCGGCGAAAGTCAACAACCAAACAACTCTGAAAGGCAACGGACAACAACTTAAAGCATTTGTCTCATGCAAAGTATTTGGACTGCCTGCGACGACCTGTCGCCAGCCTGTATGTTGTTTTTGGTACTGTGGGAGTTCGCAGGTCAGAGCTGCCGGCCTCCCCTACCGATTTTCAATTTGAGGTTGCGAGTTTTCGCAGGCCAAGCCCTCAGCGACTCTCTTCCTCCTGCTTGCTAATCCTACACCATCACAAGTTTGGTACTGCACGTAAAGAACATATGCATGTCTGGTCGCAAATTTCGTGTGTAGAAGCGCGTTTGCAAGGATACTGAAGCACTGCTGGTCACATGTTTGGTATGCAAGCAAAAGCATTGTTGGTCACGAGTTTGGTATGTAGGAGACAATGGCAGCGCCGTGGTAGGTAGGATCACAAGCTGACAGTGTCGCGGCATCTGAGTCAGCATTAGGGTAGGAGAGTATTTTGTTGATCTGTCGCGCTCAACCTTCTGGCCACCGATGTAAATAAAGCTGGACCCTCACGACTGGCTCGATGACAGGTTTCCATGTAGCCGGAACATTAACATGGGTTCGTAAGTTAGCTACATCCCTGCCTCACTGTTGCCTCGCAACTCAGAATCTTATTCTTTCAGATCGGGTTCGCTTTTTGCAGGCCAGCATGAATCAATAGCATTTTGAGGGCAAATTGGGCTGGACCTGGCAGGTACAGGGTTGCACGTCCACGAACCCATCACGAGGAACAAGAGAGGTCTTCGTTGGTGCCAGCACTCTTGCCCGCCGGCATCCCCGCTTGACATAAAGCTGAGGTGCTTTCCTGAACCCTCGGCGACAGGGCTTCGCGCACACACGCAAACCCACGCATGCAGAAACCCTGCAAAATTGAGGGGCCAAACGCTGGAAGCACAGTTCGGCAGACATGCTGCTTTCACGCACTCTGTTGGCGCAAACTAACTAAACATGACGAAATACTGAACCGTCACAGAAAATGCGAGACACAGAGATCTGCCTTGTTTGTCAGATGTGATCAGTGATGGTACTAATCTTCCGTACTAGGTGCGCGAAAAACACAATGCTAACCAAACCTGGACATCCTGGATCGGATGTGCCCATGCGCGGGCGGTTTCACTTGTGCATACCTTGTACCCATTGGAAACAAGGGTGGGCGCAAGCCTGGAGGCAATGAGCTAGAGGATGCAAGAGGGTTTCAAGCCTGATAATCTTTAAACATAGATGCAAGGCTCAGTATGCCATGCAAGTGACAACTGCACAAAGCACTGCGCTTCGCCAGCATGGTTAACTAGAACAGTGCAACGGAGAGCAATGCTCCTATGCATCATTTCCGACCGTGTGGCTGCAAGCATAGTCGCAAGACGAGTATCACACCAAAAACCGTATTGTTGTTGACCCCCTAATAGAAAGAGCATTTTGCGGCTTCGTGCAGCAACGAGGATTGTAATTAGCCTTTATCGGGCCAGCACTAGTACTATTGATACTGCGAACAAGGAAGAGTGGTATGAGTTGCCACTTCGGTTAAGAGTAATACTACTCGTGGTACCAATAGTAGTACTGATACTCGTACTAGTAGGATCTAGGCTTTGAGGCTGTGGAGTCTCGAGCTGCTGCGTCGGGCCCAGCGTGATCCGACACAACGACTTCTGCATCAGGCGTGCCATGGCAACCCCACAACCCTGACGCACGCTCGTCGAACCTGCGAAAAAAATTAGGACCTGCACAAGCCACCGACACCTGAAATGCAGGACACGCAAACACGCTTTCACAGCTTGTTGGTGCCTGCAAAAGATCCAATGCAGAAGCCCATCCTTGGCGGAGTAACATCAAGTCAAGATTACTTGCAGCTGCTCGGAAGGAAGACCGTCGAGTGCTGAGGCATACACGACTTGCCCTGCTAACACAGGTCATGCCTGCACTCCACAGGTAGACACTCTTCGCGAGGCTGCTTCCTCTGCTCGTCTCCAAGTGCACCAAGATGTCACGCCAAGCATCTCCAGAAGAACCCATGTCTTGCGCGCAGGCGGCAGTGCTGGAACAGGTCATCACGTCCGGTTGGAGTTTCGCTAGGGACACTTGCAGCAGCAGGGACGATGCTCGAAACCAACCTGCTGGTTGTCCCTTCAGGGAGGAAATAGCTGTGTTGTATGTCACGGTGTCCGCAACCTGCAGCCCACGTACCAGTCGCAATGTGGCCAGCGCACGGGTCCATAACTTCCCTTTTGAGACTGCGCCTGCCAGTGTGTTCCAAGAGTACGTGTCGGGAGACTGTTCAGAAGCTGTCATTGACAACGCCAGCTGCCAACGGCCATGAGATGCAACGGCACCCAAGGCGATGTTGAACACAACCAAATCTGTTTTCAGTGCCCGGTGCTTTGCATCTTGAATCTCCTGCAAAGCTGACCTCCAACGACCAGCGCTACGGAATCTGCTCAAAGCCTTACCCAAAGAGATCGCTGACCACTGTGAGCCCGCTTGTCTCGGATGCTCGGACGTATTGCTGAGGCTGCAGAGCATCGACTGGCTGCTCCGAAAGACCGATCATCTTGACGATCTTGGCCCTGATGCCCTGCACTTCATGCACACACACCGCTCCCGCTCTGTGTGCTACTCCCACAGCCCAGAGCGACAAACATGGCAGGCCGGTAGGCTCAGGAACCTATATAAGCGTCGGAACATGATCCCGAATGGCTTCACAAGAGCATTGCAAACTCCAGGGCCAGCTGTCAACTACAGGCGGCCTGTATCTCTGCTAAGGCCTTTTTCGTGCTCGCGTCGCCAATGGTGTCCGCTTAAATGCCTATCCTCTCTCCGTGTGGCAAGAACCTTTGTCTAGATTTCGGCATATCTCCATACCAAATCAACGATGTTGGGCTAGCGTTGAGAAGCACGATACTCGGGAATCGATGGGTCAGCATAAGCCATATGGAGTACGGGATATGTAGCCAAGCTCTGACTCGTGCAACTTTGCATGGGTTGCAGAACCATGTCTAGCTGGACGAAGCCGAACTTCAGGGATGCGGTCGCAATGAGACTCAGCAAATGTGGACGGCCTGAGGACGAGGCATCCGGCAACGATCATAGGATGTCTGGAAAAGGGTCTTCTGAAATTCGTTGGGCTTGGCCGGATTTCGGCTGAAGTGGAGTCTGGGGGATCAGCCGTCTCGGCGAGTGCTGCACCGTGACCAAGGAATTAGAGTATACACAACTGTCTACTGTTAGTTCCAAAACTGAAACATCGAAGGCAGCAAGGGTACTGAGCATACAGTGAACCTCATTGAACGCGACGCACAATGATGATGGTAATTTCGGGCTAGAAGCAGCAACAAGCACCACGACAGACTCGACAACAGTTGCCGCACCAGCCACAAAAAAGGAACCCAAAAGACTGCACAGCAACTGAAACCCAATTGAATAAGCCAGATAGAATAACCTCACCGACTGCAACCGTCACAGGTCCAGTTGAAACTATACAGGGGACATGCACACTTTTGGCGAATAATTACAATTGCTTATCACAGTCAGGGCGATAACACGCGTATCACCTCTCCATACCTCTCCGCTAGAGTCAACCAACCTTTGCGTCTCCTCTGAAACAACCACCCCACCACACCCAGCTTCCCAAACGCTCGTACTACGCCAGCCAAACAGGATTTCTTCACCCTCGGCCCTGTCCAGAAGGGACTGCTTTTGTTGATGACTCCGACAGGGCTTTGGAATTTTGTATAAGCCACAGTTAACACCAAGGAAGAGACTATGCGGGTCTGCAAGAGGTTTTCCATCGATCTTGAGCTTCAGCGAAGGTTCACAATTAAACGTGAACCCGATACCAAGAAGCAGTGCAAACAAGGGATCCAGCCTCGGACTCCCTGGCAAAAGAATCCGAACTGGAGGACAACTGCGCATCAAATACGGTTTCATCAGGCTACGTTCACTCTGTGCATGCAACCTCTTTGTAGTCACTGGTTCGAATAATTGATGTGGATGGGGCCCTTTCGCGGCGTGATCTATAAGAGTACTAGTTCTACTAGTTTAGGCAAGTCGAGCCTCATGTCCATGGAAATATAACTCTCACTATGCATACAACTTGTGCTTGTCGTCCTTGCACTGCCAAACCGGTGCTTCAAAATTCAGGCAGTGCAGGCTTTACGACTAAACAAGCTGTGATCACGGGAAGCATGGTGGCTGGTTCCTCCAACTCCGTTGATTCCGTCAACCGAAAGCACCACTCTCCGGCATATGTCTTGGCTGAAAAGATGTGGTTCTTCGCTCTGAAAAAAAGATTTGGCCGAAAGAGCAGCAACAGGCAAAGAACATTTGCAGACTTGATGCTGCGGGGTTATCCCACTTTTCCACATGGCAACCAGGCTTTTTGTTAGTGTGTCTGGAAAGTTTGACATTGGGCCAACGTATCTGGCATTGCTGAAAGCTGTCGGCAGCCCCTGAAAACATGAGATTCAGTGGCCTCGCCGGAGAAGTAAAGCTCGCCTCTGCACCAGCCCATGCTAGTCGGTACGCCGGCGGCCATCATCGGGATGCTTGAACACGCCTGTAGGAAGGCTCGACTCGCCTTTGATGTTCCAGGGTACTGCTTTTTGCTAATCCAAGTCGCAGTCACGCCGCTTGCAGTCCGCGCCATATCTACAAGGCTTCCGCTTGAGAGTCTCGTAAATCGCATCCTCGGACCAGAGGAGATGAATAATTATCAACCGGTGAGTCAATGATGCGTGCCCGGTCGTCAGAAACATTCGGCATTGCCACTCAGCCCGGCACCAAGTCATCAGCAGGGTGTCTGTCTCGACCTTTGCAGCGACCACCGACTTCTTTCAACGTGTTCGTAGGAAAGCTCCTACAGAGAACTCAGCATATTGCATGTATCCCCGCGGCGGCAACGCCCCTGGACATAGGGGATGCAAAGCTGGAGACCTGTCAGGATCACATTAATTGCAACCCGTGACAAGAAGTTTGCGATATGCCGATATGCAGCTTCGGTACCATCACCTTTGCCATCGCCTGATGTCACGAGAGACTTCTCATAACTTGAAGTCAAAGCCTTGCTCTGACAGCCTTTGCCGCCGGCCCTGTAATCTCTACTTCGGCTTCGGCGGCTGGATGACCTCCATCGCAACACCAGCACAAAATATCGCGCAAATCTGCTCGCACCATCCGATGCGAACTGCTAACCATCGCTTGAAGGGACAGTTCGCACGAGGACCACTGTCAAGGCACTAACTTTGCAGAATTGGCTGGCAGTCAGGCCTTCTGGACCGGCTCCTGTATGACAAACAAGGAGAATGTAGAAAGTGTTTTCAGACTGAAATTGAAAAAATAATCCACTACCTCGTATCGACAAACTTCTTCGAACAGTACGGTTTTGAAAACAAGATTCCAAGACTGTACTAGTCCCAGTCTAGCCTCCTCCTGTCTCAACGCTTGAAGGCATCGGGGTCATGCAGTTTGTGTGAAACACCGACAGTCTTTTACCTATATTTCGCGTGCACAAGACGATAGGTGGTTCTGCGTGAGAAATTCGGAGGCCTTGCCTTTCGAGACTCCGTGTCCAAGCGAACAGCTCAGAGTCTCAGAGCTCTGGGACGATCAGAGCTCAGACTAGCGCACTTCGCCAGATGATGCTGCTCGAACTGGGATGGCTCTGCAGCTATGCCGGCCCCCCTCCAAGCTCATGTCAAGACGGGAAGGCCGATGAAGAAATCAGTTACATGCGGATACCAAGTTTCGGAAATCATATCAAATTCAGGGCATGTGCCGTGGTCTTTCAAGCATATCGGAAAAGTCTTCCTCACCTAAGAGCACCCGTCAAAACTCGAAAGCCCGGGTTCTTCGGCAAGCAGCGTTTCTCGAACAGTCTATCCCGTCTTGCAGCAAAGGCAACGTTGACGTCGGCTGCTACTCTGAGAACGCAGATATGTTTGGCAACATGATTCCTTCCTAGACCACTACCCGAGAGCTTCTGGGAAGCGTAGAATACATTTTCTGGGTCGAGTCGGTCGACTTATAAGGCCATGGAGGATCAGCCTGTGTCCGGGCTGCAGCTATATCGTTTGCAGGGAGCTTGTTCCAACGTGCGATCAACAACCCGTCACAGAAAAACGGGGGCCTGGCATGCTGTGAAATTCTACCAGTATTATGGGCGAAATAGTTCTACGCTCACCAACACTGGTCCCGACATGCGGGGCACTCCGACCGACGTTGAACCAAACTGAGCTCACACGACGCACCTCTTGTCGTCGTGTGGTATAAGGGCTGTATCACGCCGTTCGTCGACGAGGCAGGCTGAAACGGCTACCCGGTGCCGGGTCGCATTCTGCACCCGGCCGCTTCCGTTCGGCGTCCGCCGATAAGGCAGTTTTTGGGTGGTGAGGGTGGGACTGAGTGCTAGCGGCGTTCGCCGTTATTGCATGTTACTGCGCGCACACGTGTGCTGCACAACATGGGGGGCACTCCGACCGACGTTGAACCGTTGAATTAAGCTGAACTCGACTCTTGTTTTGGTGGGGCTGAGGTTGACACCGTCGGCGCCGAGGTGAAAGGTCACTCCCTGTGCCACGTGTTCGGTCGCCGGGGGCTGTGCCTTGGACACCTTCGTCGGCGAACAGGTCCTGGAAGGAGTTCGCCGCCGAGTCGCCCTTGAGGTCGTCGTCGATGCCATTAAAGTCGTCGACATAGTGGCCCGCCGCCAGAAGCAGCAGTGCAGTGCATCGGCTCTTTTTTAAAAAATTTCAGACCGACGCCGTCGTTCCAAAATTCATGGCGAGATGGTACCAAAAGGTCACGTCGTGCTTCGCTGCATGGCCATATACGACGAGCCTGCTCGAGGAAATCGCCGCGCGCCGTGCCAAGTCGACGAAGCTCCCGATGAAATGTTGCGTCGGCACATCGGCGACTCTGATCGTCGAATTGTGCGAGGGGCCCCGGCTAGCGTGTCGGCGTCGAGGCAGTCAGGAACAGCTGCCGTTGGTGCTCGCGTCGGGCCCAGCACTCTGGCGCCTTTGGTACTCGCCGTCGTCGCTCTGGCGCCAACACGATATTCGCCGATCATCTGGAGCCTGTCGGTGAGTGCGGTCGTCACGAAGCGCCGCTCCAAGGAGTGTACCCTAGGCGTCGTAGTTGGTCGATTAAAGTGATCACCTGAGTGGGCTCCGGTTTGTCAGGCGTCGAATACGTCGCGCAGATCCACGAAGGCCTGGCCGCCATCCAAGTCGCCGTCTCCTCGGCGAGGTGGTTGATGAGGACGCGTATCTCTGCTATGACCTCCCGTCGTATCCTGACCAGGTCGTGTCGCCACCACTGGCGTATCATACCGGCGTGGGAAAGGCTGGTTCGAAGGCCATCGGATGGGCCAAGCGCGCCGATGCCTCGTCGAGGTCGTTCAGGAAGTCGATCTGCCATCGTGGTCCGACCCAACGCCTGGCCGGGGCCACCTGCGTGGTTGCCCGGCGGCACTCTGATGGGCTGCCATCCGCGTGGCCTTTTTTGGCCCTGGCCGGGTAGAGGCTGTTCATGTAGGTCGACTGCTCTCCAAACGTCGGCGCCGTCGATGGACCTGCATGAGCACTCTCTGCCACCTGGATGGGTGGCAGCGGAGGCCCTCGACGGCGATGTGAATGCCGCGGTCCGTCACCGGCGCTGATGGATGCCGCGTCCGTGCCTTGCACCGGGGCATCGCCTTCGTCGGGATGGTGTTTCCAGACATGGCACGAGGGATGAAGGACAAACAGAAAAGCTAAACGTGGTTCGGAAGTAGTTCTACGCTCACCAACACTGGTGCCCCCAAGGTTTCAAGACCCCGGCTTTGCAAACCGATGGTAACCCGTTCATCGTTGTCGGGTGTAGTGTTTCACCAATCCAGCGACTTCTTTGCTTGCTCACACTGGCACTCCGCTAGAAGGTTTCGGGTTTGCTACACGTTAAGGGGTTCCCCCTACCATCCGCTCCTTCTTGGCGCACTTTCGGACTAGTTGGAACGACGGCAGGTCAGCAGCGGAGCGATAGCTGTGGCAGCAATGGTATGCCTGTGTGTTAGCTAGTCGGCTTCGGGCATGGATTCAGTCAGGTTTGTGTGATTGTGAATGTTGATAGCGGCGGCAGTCATCGGCTTTGGTGACCCAATAGGAGGTGGTAAGTTTGAAGCAAAAGCCAGCAAGAAACACTTCCCAATGCATCGAAAATTGAAAGAGATCCCGCATCAGAAGCTTAGCTTGGCCAGAAAGACTCACCAAACCTTCTGCTTTTACGTGCCTACCTTGCCACAGATTCCGTCCTTCCGCGACGATCACGATCTCTCTCGTTGTCATCACGCCTGGCGCGCTGTAAGCCCCCTAGAGATTCTCACCTTGAGGCTTGCTGTATTCTTGCATCGCTTGCTGTTCAGAGAGGCGTATCGGCCAGAAAGCATTCTTCTTGCTGCCTGCTCGCTCCTTTTCGGCAGCATGGAGATGCTGCATCGGATCAGTTTGTTCTGTGGGATGTAAGATCGGTTGATCGGTTGGTGCAGTCTTGGGTTGCTCTTTCCGACTGGACCAGCCTCAACGGATAATGCTCAGCTCATTCGTGCCAGGCTCAACACATCTGGAGGGTGAAGCCCGCTTGTGATCTTGTCCGAACCTTCTGCTCTGCCAAGCCTGTTGTGTCCAATGTATGTTGGCTAGTGGCAGTGACCGATTCACCCGCTGTGACCATCCTCATACTTGCAGCGATGCGTATCTTTGTCTGCATCTTCTTGATTGGCGTCTTGTACAGGGTGCTTGATTCATCCGAGTGTCCGCCCGCACAGTAGCGGTGGTTGAAGCGTCAGGAATGAGGGGTATTATATCATGGTTATGACAACACATTGGGCTACACATTGGCAACACGGTGCGGCAGTGCTCCATGACTGTTTTGCAAGCACAGCTGAAACCGATAGGTTTTCCTGTCCTAACTACATGGCTGCACACAAGATTTCCTGGACACAGTAGGCCCTCCAACCAACGACAACTTGACACATGGCGAGGCGAGGAGTAGCCGTCAACCGTTTCAGTGTCAGACTTTGCCATGGTAATGGCAATGGCATTGGTGCTTCTCAAATGCTACCGGCATCGGTCAGGCATGCTGCAGCTTCGGAGGCACACGTGGCGCAGGTACTAAGCACAGTCCCGACCTCCGATCCCGACTGCCACTCAAGCTCCGACTCCTGGCCAAACACAGACGATCTTGCCCGACAGCGCTGATATCTCCAAAGTCGCAAGTTTGCTGGGGGCCTGTTCCTGGCCTTTTCTCTGCCTTTGGAGCTCGCACTGCTTTTGCCTGCTTAAGGGCTGTATAGGGCTGTAACGAAGCCTTGCAACCCAAATCTGCAGACATGGGCGACGAACCCGAACCCGCCTCCATGCTACCTAAAAAGCATATCGATAGCATGAACTGTAAGGCTGTCATACACTTCCTCCGAAGGCAGGCTTTACTCACAGCAAGCACCTCCTGGGCTCTTCGACTTCCTCTCCTTCCGCTTCTGGAGCTCCCTCTCTGGGCTTCCCGCGCGACTGCGGCCTCCGCAGAATTTGGTCGACAGCTTTTGTGCGAGGCGATGCAAAGACATACACACATGCACAGGGAGAGATGGCGAGTTCTCAGCAGGCAGCTTCTGGAGACGGATGCCTTCATTGAACGCAATCGGTTTTTCATCTCACGGCGAAGCTGAGAGCATGGCTTTTAACTTCAGCTGCTTCTTTTTCTTTTCTTCTTCGCTGCTGGACGGGCTCTCTTGCCTTCAAAGGTTGGACATTCCCTGCTGCATTGCAAGTTGCACAGGAAACGAGCAACCTTGAGGAAAATCACGTGCGCTGAGCAATCATGTTGAGTCGCACTCAGCGCAACGTCGAACATGCCAGACCCCGTAGTTTTTACAGCGCGGATCTCCAAAGACATCCCATGAATCTAATGATGCCAACCTAGTAATGTCACGGGATTCGTGTCTGTCATCATCACATGCCCTTCTTTACACAAGTGCCGCCTCTGCTTCTTCTTCTCTTCCCCAGCCTTTTTCTCCAGCTTCTTCTCAAGCTCCTGAACTACTCCGGAAAATGCTGGCTGGTTCGAGCATCCATGGGCCGTCTCTCCTCCACCTCTTCCTTGAGATCTCGGTTTTCCTTCTTTCTTTTCTCGAGCTTGGTTTCTAAGGCATCCTTGCAGCGGAAGCAGCCGGCAAGGGGCTGCCAAGCTGCAGGCCGCTACTGTGCGCAAGTGCCTTCTCATCCTGCAACTCCTGGATCGCATCTCGCTTCGCCTCGCTCTGATTCAAGCATCGTTGCTGTGGGCCGTCAGTTGATATCAGCTGCCACTTCCTGCAAGGGGTTACCTGACAAGATGCCTGCAGCTTCTCTTCGAGCTTCTCCAGGCGACCTTCAGCCTGCTCTCAGAATCTGTTACAGTAACATTCAACAGTTCGAAAGGTGTTGCACATGACCCCCGAGCTCCCGGCTTTCTCCTGCCTGGGTAGCATTGGAGAACCCATGCAGGCACGCGAGACATACAACAAATCGCAAGCAAAAAACAACGATGGCAAAGCCGACGTTCCGCCGCCATCGGATTCACTTGCTTGGCATCAACGAAAGTTGTGCACTCAAGGGGCGCGCACAGGCGCTTCCCTTCGAGCAAGCTTTGGGATAGTACAGCAGGAGCAAAGTGGAACAACCTCTAGGAAGCATCAACATCTAGTGGGTCCAGCCTTAACAAGGGCATCGCAAGTTGCGCAATAAATGTGGCAAACAAGCAGTAACTAACTTTGATGTGTTCGGACAACGTGGTCCAATAACGGCACATATAGTTGCGCAGGGCACGACCACAAGCGGTGATAAACACAGGCAGCAATAACATGCTGAAGCAGCGCCACAAGAGCACACCACAATTGAACTCCCCTGGGCCCACGATGGTCTACGGGTGGGACCGGCACGTGCACTACCTCATGTTTGCCCTTAGACTGGCTATTCATAGCCTGGGTTTGCACAACATGCCTGCCACGATGCTGCGGAAGCATTCTTTCAAGGCTGGGGAGGGACGGAGGGAGAGGGAGGGGGAGAGAGTCACATGAGTCTGTGACCAAGTCGGATCGCCTAGGCCTAGGCCTGGGCAGTCATAGTCAGGAGTCAGGAGATGGAGAGTCGTGATGAAAACGGAAAGAAGTTTTCGATGGTAAGCATCTTTTGGAAAAACGCTGTGTACTCATTCCGAAACAGCAGCATGACCCAGGTCCAAATCCTAACACCAACTCGTGCCCAAGCGGATGCACCCTATCAAATCCCAAGGCGGAAAGCCAAAGCAAGCCAACGCAACGACCATACAACCCCGCACAGGAGTCCCCGCATTCCCAAGCCAAGAGACGCCCGTGTCAATCGCAGCGGCTTACACGGCTTTCATAATATGCTCTGCAGCGCAGGCTTCAGCTCTGAACTCAGCCACAGATTCGGGCCAGGTTGCGCATCACGCGCGGCAGCAACATCAGCTACTGCTTTCCTCGATGCTTCCTTGGCCTGAAAGTGCTACGCTGACTTCAGGCAGATTTCTCGTGTCAAACACAGCCTCGGCCAGCTCACGCTTGAGTTCCACGACCTTCTGCTGCTCTGCCTCGAAGGCTCGAGATCTGCCGACCTATCCTAGCAGCCTAGCATCTTCTGCATCTTGTCTCCCACCTGCACAGCATTCTGCATGGCATCTTCTGCTCTCGCCAGCAGAGAGCGCGTTTCCGCAAAGGCTGTAAGGGCTTCCTCATAGCTAGGCATGTCCTCCCACGCCTCGCAAGGACGTCTCATATGCAACAAGAGCTGAGCCTTGCTCTTCCTTGCTTGGTCTGCTAGACTTGGGCTGCGGGATGCCTCAATGCGGAAAGCTGGCCAAGGAGGCAAGCGCACTTGTCAAGAAGCCCGGCATTTCAGCTTCACTGTCGGGCCCAAACATGCGAAGAATCGGTTGTGTGCTGCTCTGCGCTTGTGCGCTGAAGGTGTCTACGATGTGCAACTGCGACGGAGCCGCAGGCAGGAGCCAACGACCGAACCCTCCTTTTTCGCTGCGAGAATCTTCAAGACGAACATGCACGTAGCTCTGTAAACTCTTGCACCGCCCGGGGTGCTGTGTCTATCTCGCACACTGTGTATTGCATGATGACGTGTTTGTTTTCTATGGCTATAATCGGTGAAATAATCGGTGAAACAGGTCGGTGGGATCAGGCCGTTGAGCTTCAAAATCGGCCCTTGATATACTTTCTGGCTCGAGCCTCAAGGACTCCCAGGGATTGGAAACTGTGCGCGGGCTTGGAACCAAGGGTCCGGCTCTTCCTGCTCGGCCGGAATCAAAACCCCTGGTCGACCGACCATTGATTTTGTACCATCCTGGGAAGCCTCGGTACTTGACGCCAGTCCACCGCGCCTGCAGTAGCTGGTGCACATATCCGAAAGTTCCAAAGCTGCACAGCTCAAGCGCCGTCGCCTCGTGGGGCATCAGGGGTTCTCGCATAGTGACGTGGACTCCGGCTGGGGCGTGTGCTTCAACCTGGGCACGTATCCAATCTAGCATCGGGCGGATAAGCGGGGTGCGGGTGCTGGACCACACATTCGCCGCAACCAGTTATTGCGACCCAGCCCAATCCAGGAAAAACAATGTCAGCGCCTTGCGAGCTGTGAAACTTCGTATGCGGAAAGGAGGGACGCATCTGGCTTCAGAAACTATACTTCAGGCGACGACATGCTTCGTCCCATCCTGTGCCAGTCAGCCTCAGCAAGCCCAGCCAATGCTCCCTGCAGGACATCTCAAACTCTGAGCACCGAACGAAAACTGCTGAGATTCAAAGGGCAGCAAGTTGTCGTACCGCCGAGGATCGACAGGAGGTGTCAACCTGAAGCTTCTTTCGCGCCACTGGGTAGCTGAGGCCGGCAGGTCTGAGACTGATGAGGCACAAGCTCGTTTCCCGCCCACTGCTTGCAAATCCGCGCTGCCTCCGACACCAGCACATCACACACCTGTCTGTCCCTGCATTGATGCCATTTTGTTCACATCCGGGCCTTTTCAATGCGGGTCCGATGCAGCTTGACTCTCTCTGAAATGAACACGGTAAACTGAAAGGGCCTGCGACCAGGTCGTAGTGGCAACAGAATGCAGCACGATGCATGCAGCCTGCCCTTGACGAAATCGATCCGGGCCAGGGCTCCCAGAAGCAGTGTTCGCCCTTCGTCCTCAGGTCTTCGCAAAGCAGTTCAGGCCAACAAACACGGCGGCCTCACCAGAGTGGAAAGCAATCTGAGAACGCAGCCATGTGAAATGTAAGGCGAACTCAGTGCACTGACTTGCAGTTCGCAGGAATGCCTTACCACCTCTAAATACAAACAAGCCGAGCATTGGACGTGCTTCTTTTGTCTGTGGTGTAATTATCTTCAGATCCTGCAGCAGTCTAGAAATCTGAAGCCAAAAGTCATTCCAACTGCATAGACCTGCTGTTGTCTCTTTGCTTTTCTGCTCACGGCATGAAATGCAGGCAATCCCCGCCTGCGTCCCGTTCGGTCAAGCAGGCCCATCTCTTCTGGTTGGATGATGTCTTTCTCTCTTTCCACAGTCGAGAAGGGCACGCGACCCTTCCGCACGCGAGTGCGCGCTGGGTCCCTGGGTTGGTCGATCTACGATGGCGTTCTCTTTCGCTGTTTTTTGTTTTTCTGCCGGGCGTAACGTTCGTGTGGCGACCCTCAGGCCATGGGCCCGCCCGACCACCCAATGCTTTACTGAGCAGGCAGCATTGGGGTTCCTCGCCACTGATGCAACAAAAAGACATGGTGGGCCCACTGTTTCCGATGAACTCCCCCAACCCCGCACACACGAACCACACCTCCAGCCTCTTCCCCGCGCCCCTGTGGCTATGCCGATGCGTGCTACTCGCAATCAGGTGGTAAAGCCGGTAAAGCCCCATGTATGTGCTCAAGAAGGCGAAGGTCAGGCAACATCACAACTACAGTGCAACCATCACTGCACGAGCATACATTACACTGCACTATCCCTGTTGTTCACTTTCTGCTTTTCTGTGTGTTTTAATTACGCCTTGAATTTGTTTCCCAGGATCGCTTTTGAGCGTACTTCTGCGCAAGCACGCAGCCGCCCTAGGTTAGCACTTGAGCATGTGTGATCTCTCGCCCTCCTTCTTCCAATGGGCATGACGGACGGGTTCTGTCCCCCGGCTCCCGCGATGTGTGATGGGGCTTTGAGGGGACTGTGAAAGTTCAACCTAGTGAACAGATGCAGGTGATCCTTCCCTGTCTCGCTCTCGCTCTCGCTCTCGCTCGCTCACCCACCCACCCACCCACCCACCCACCCACCCACACCCACCCCCACCCCCACCCCCAC